ATTTCACGTAGTAAGCAATGATACCAGAAGTGACATCTTGCTTACTACTGTTCATGTGATCACTGATTGACCAATCAGTGATCACGTGATCGGGACCTCGTACAGAGGTCCCGTACGACGATCGGTGTTCCACTGTGTCCGGAGGACACAGCGGGTACCGGACCGCTCCCAGGGAGCGCGCACAAGCAGGGGGCGAGGAGACTGTTTATAAACGGCCACCCGCCCCTGCACTGCCACCGTCCAGCCATTTATATATAACGGCCGGACAGGAGGTGGTTAAAGTAAAAAAATAAATTGCCTTTAGAACCACTTTAACCTATCAGATATGGTTTTATAGAAATCTTCTGTTTTTTCGCCATTTGGAATATCTCTTGGCTATGTTGCACACATTAAGGAAACATACAAAAACATGTAAATGTTGGTGAAGCACATTCAGTACACCAGGTACAACTGGAATATCTGTGCAAATCTAAAAGTAGTGGTTCTGCTGCTGGGAATGCAGCTAATCTAATTACTGGTGTTACATACAGTATATGAATGGGACAGCAACGCAAGAGAGTCGCATTACATGAAAAAAAGATTGTCACTCCAAAGGAATTTGGTTCCAGGACAGAAAAACGTGGCGCGTAAACCACTTGCTGACCCGACAAGGATCTTTGTGCCTCCGCTGTGTCATTAAACAGTGATGATTGAAACTTTTTGTGAAGGTGATGAACTAGGAAGATGAAAGTTTCACAATTTGGGGCAGATGTTTCCAAGAATCATGCCGGCCATTGACGGTTCGAATATCGGCCGATTTTTCATCCGAAAGAATAATCGGCCGATTTTCGCACTGTTAGTGGGTTAATTGGTCAGCCAGTTTTTGGGTTTTTTGCACTTTTGGATTATCGTTCATGTTGGAAAATTTGTGGAAAGCTACCGATTTTCACGTCAATGATGGGCAAATCGTACGATCGTTTTTATGAAAACAAATATGCGCATGACCTGGAAAGAACAGAAGTTTTGGCTCTTATATGGGGGGAACGTTATGACTTGGTTGGCTGATTTTTGTAATCGTTGGTGGTTACGTCGGTTAAACGAACGACCGATTTTTTGTTTATCGTTCAAAAAAACGCATGGTTTTCGAGCTGTCCATGGCCTGCATTACTGATGCAAAGATCAAGGAAAGCATTTTCGTTGGTGATCAGATATGTCATCCATGACCAGCGGTTTGAAGGTCTGTTAGTGGAGCCGGAGAAAATCGCTTGGAAAGCATACAAGGATGTTGTTGATATATTTCTTGGCAACTGCAGCGCACCAAACTACATTTGGCCGGTTGACAAACTTCCTACAGCATACAAAACAATGAAGTGCAACATGTTGCTGAAGGTTCATGTTCTGCAATCACACTTGGACTTCGCTCCGGAAACTCTAGGTGCAGCCAGGGAAGAACGGTATCAGGGCAACAGGAATCCATCAATGTTGGCTGCCTACTGTTGAATATTGCAATGAGGTACATCAGACACGGAGTACAAACAGCAGAACACTTTTAGCCCTGTTGAACCCATGCAGAGTGTCAGAAACTTTATGCCAATAAATACATTATAGTCATAAAAAGTTTATTTCATATTTCTCAAAATTCCTACATTATGTAGTCATTCTGAAATGTTGTGTTCAGTTTGAAGTAGGGGTGGACTGACAACTCATGGGGCCCCTGGGCAATAGGGATCATGGGGCCCCTGTTTCCTTGCCCAAACTCAAAAAAGCCTATGAAAAATGTACTAGGGGCATCTCATGGGGCCCCCTTCTGACCCCGGGCCCTCGGGCAGTGCCCGAGTTTCCAAATGGTCAGTCCGCCCCTGGTTTGAAGGGGTCTCTCATAGTCAAGGGCAGCACAGTGGCTAAATGGTTAGCACTTCCACTTGGCAGTACTCGGGTCGTTGGTTCAAATCCCAGCCACGGCACCACCTGCCTGGAGTTTGCATGTTCTCTCTGTGTCTGCATGGGTTTCCTCCCACACTCCAAAGACATGCTGGTAGGTTAATTGGATCCTGTCTAAATTGTCCCTAGTATGTGTATGTATGAATGTGAATTAGGGACCTTAGATTGTACACCCCTTGAGGGTTAGGGACCTTAGATTGTACACCCCTTGAGGGTTAGGGACCTTAGATTGTATGCCCCTTGAGGGCTAGGGACCTTAGATTGTACGCCCCTTGAGGGTTAGGGACTGATGTGAATGTACAATATATATGTAAAGCGCTGCGTAAACTGACAGCGATATATAAGTACCTGAAATAAAATAATAGTCTCCAAACATTTTTTAGGAAACAAACTTTGGAAAAAATTTGTTGTCCAGTGTTATGTGTGTTCATCCACTGTGTGTGGGTGAGACGATCGAATTCCCTCTAGGTAATGCACCATAAGGCGCCTTTCACACAGGTGATCTCACCAGGTCCACCTGTCAGTTTTTCAGGCTGACCTGATTGGATGTGACCCGCTGTAAGGGTGTCGCTGTGGATCCGCACAAAAATCCGTGCAGCCACACAGAAGAATGCGGACCCATGGTCGGGTGCCATTAATTCTAATGGCATGCCGCCCGCACTGGAAATCGCAACCGCACTGGGAATCGAGGTTCCCGTGCGGGCTGCGGTTTCCAAAGAAGTGCAGGGATGTCTTCCCTGCGTGTCACGGGCACAGGAGTCCACTCAAATAAATGGGCTCTTATACCCGTGCAAAACACGGCCCGCAGGAACACACATATGTGAACCAAGACTAACAGCAGGCTGGGGATCTTCTCCCCACACCCGCTGTCACAATAAACAAAAAAATAAAGTGTCCTTGCAGGGGTCTGTCACTCATTCAGACTTCTGTGAATGGTAGAACTACAACTACCATCAGCCACTGTGGCTGACAGCTTGTAGTTCTCAATGCACTACCAGTGCACTGTTTAGTGCTTCAGGTAGTTAGTTTATTCTTCCTGTCATTCAGTAACTGCCTGCCTGTACAAGGTAAGGGCAGGCAGCTACACTGACAGTCTGCAGGAGTCTGGCATTGCAAAGCTTTGCAGGCTCCTAAAAAAATAATAATTGCTCTTTTTTTTTACCTGCAAAAAGATGTGCGTTTTATTTTTTTAACCTCCCCTGGCGGTATTCCCGAGTGTAGATCAGGGTAAAGTTTCAGCACCACAAGCGGTAACCCCGAGCTACACTCGGGAATACACTGCAGCGTTGCTCCGGGATCTCTTCTTTACTTACCTTGTCCTGCGCTCCCGCGATGTCCCCCCTGCAGTGTTCCCGGCAATGTCCTCCGGCCGATGCCGGCATCTGTCTTCCGGGTTCTGTTCTCTGCGACGTCGGGACGTACGGGGGACGGAACTGGTGGGAAATTTAAAAATGTCAAAAAGTGACATTCACTAAATACACTAAAATCACATAGTATAACATTCCTGTATCAAACCATTTCACATACATTTTGTCCCGAGTGCTTTGTCCGGCGCCCTGCCTGCATTTTTACTGTTCTTTCTGCCTGGAAACTGAGAAACGTCCATGGCGTGGTTTTAGACTGGCTAGAGAACAGCGATAGTAAATCAGAACCACTTGCAGAATTGAGTGATAATGATTCGTGGGGGAAATTCATCATCAGACACTGAAAACGATTCTGCGACTTTGCTCAGCGATGTGCGAACTTGGCGCTCTATTTCACATTTCAGTGTTTTTGGTTTGATTATATTATTGAATAAAATTTATTATTATTATTATATTATTTTTTATGATTATTAAATTATAATTTATGATTTCGTGTTTCAAATGTTATCCTACCCGGGATGTTTAATAGACTCTTGTTCGGACAGATTTCAGTGAGTTATTCCTAAAAATTACAGGCCTACAATAAAAAAACAACATATTTCCATGCAAAATAATGTACTGCTTTGAGCACAGAAATACTGACATAATCAGACCGCTAGGGAGGCTACAAAGGTGAACTTATCCTCGAAGAACAGGGGGATGGTCCTTTCTGTGCAGATCTGACCACAAGTATAATTATTATTAGGCAATTTTTTTTTAATGCCAACAATTTACGCAGCGCGTTACATACTGTTCATTCACATTAGTCCCCGCCTTCAAGGAGCTTACCATCTAAGTTTCCAGCTCACCTGTATACACATATTAGTACCAGTTTAGACAGGTACCAATTAACCTACCAGCATGCCTTTGACGGGTGGGAGGAAATTCATGCAAGTATAGTGAGAATATGCAAACTCCATGACTCGGATTCAAACCGAGGACTCTAGATACGATGTGCGCTTCGTTGCCAGAAATAGTGCAGGCAAATGTTTGCTTTGGTGCAATGCATGTAAACACACTATAAAACATGAACCCCTATAGTGTGAATGGCCCCTAACTGATAAAAGAATAAAATGCACAGCATATTCTGCATCCAATCACAGCAGAGGTGAGCTCATTAATAGAAATCAGAGGCTACATTGGAAGAACATCATGGAGTGACAACACTGATGCTGCTTGTGGGGCAAAGAAAGGCAACGGTGTCACCCTTACACAGGATCTGACTGGGGCTGAAATTTGGAATCTTAAACATACAAATGACAGCAACTCTATATTTATTAAAGTGTTTTAAAATTCATGCAGAAGTCTACCTATAAATGTCCACCTATCCATACTGATGTACAGTCATCAAGGCATTTGGAAATTTGCATAACTCCTCCTAAGAACCAATCCAGTGCTCAGATCAGGGCAGATCAAGGCTCCTGAGAGGAGTACTGGGGCAGGTGCTGTGATGTTTTCAGGAAGTCATTCACAGCAGTCTGCTGGCTCCACTCACCAGCTGTGAGCTGCCTATATTGCATAGAGAAACACAGAGGTCCAGTGATGATATCACTGGGTTTAAAATAAGATATGTAGTGAAAACAGGGTTTATTTTAAAATGTCATTATGATGTTGATTGGGGGGAGGAGGGGAGGGATTGAGAGGGCAAAATATAAACAGATTAAAGTGTTACTTAACCCAGGACCCCGCATGCACTATATCTGGTCTCCCCGGACTCTGCATGCACCATATTTGGTCTCCCTGGGCCCTGCATACACTATATCTGGTCTCCCCGGACCCTGCATTCACTATATCTGGTCTGCCCCGGTCCCCGCATTCACTATATCTGGTCTGCCCGGTCCCCGCATTCACTATATCTGGTCTCCCCGGACCCTGCATTCACTATATCTGGTCTGCCAGGACCCTGCATTCACTATATCTGGTCTCCCCGGACCCCGCATTCACTATATCTGGTCTGCCCGGTCCCCGCATGCACTATATCCGGTCTCCCCAGACCCTGCATTCACTATATCTGGTCTCCCTGGACCCTGCATTCACTATATCCGGTCTCCCCGGACCCCGCATTCACTATATCTGGTCTGCCCGGACCCCGCATTCACTATATCTGGTCTCCCCGGACCCTGCATTCACTATATCTGGTCTCCCACACAGTACACAGAACATGGAAATGCAATTATTTTAGTAAGTATAAACTGCTAAATACCTTTTCTCATCAGCAGTATATAGCAGTCTTGTGACATCTATCAGTGTCCAGCAGAGCAGTGGTTAAAGCGTGTAGGAGGAGTATGTTTTCTGCTCTAGGAGGATACAGAACCTCTGTCTGGACAGTGCTGATTGGCCCTGTGCTGATCACATGCACTCTCCCAAGAACAAAGAAATAAAAACCTCTAACAATACACACCAAACTGAGCATGTGCAGAATGTCTCCACATGATATGTCTTTTCAGGAGATACGAGGGGGACACTGGAAGAAGGGGAGGATCAGAGTAGTCAGGATCAAACAGCATTTATACACAATGCAGAGGATTAACCCCTTAGGTTCCACAGTGAGTATAACAAGCATGCCTTACTGCATATACAGACTGATTGTACTGTTGTGGGTTTAGTAACACTTTGAATGTCAGCTTTAAATTCCAATATGGAGCCTTCTGTTCCATTGGCTTTATAATTCTGCTGATAATTTGTAATAATAATTTAATAGATATTCATGATTGGTTATTATAGACAACAATATCATTTGTTTGCTTCAGGTTTACAACTAGGTCTAAAAGCCAAATGATTTCTAATTTACAATGTCCTTTCACCAGTAGGGGGAGACCTTACACTTCTCTTTTCCATCACCCTGGGGCCCATCATTGTATGGAATCTAATTCCCCTCTGTAATGGAAAGAGCAATATCTCATGTGAAATAATCTGCTTTCAGTGGCTTTAATAAATATAGTAAAAGTAACAATGCAACAAGATAAAGAAGAATGAATAGATGTGAGCTAAATAATGTGCAGCGCAGACGCATACAATGTACTATATTGTAAAGGGCCATAGAGAAGGTACATGGGTTGATTATGTTTGCTGATTGGTGAATATATTTGGCCTGCTCAGACTGCTGAGTCCAGTAGAAGTGCATATTGTGCAGAACAGATAGTCCAGGTACAGCCAGCGGGGCTGGGGGTCTGATACACACAATTCATTGCAGCATACATCCTTCAATATAACCCCCCCTCCCCATGAAACTAAGACAATTTAGACAGGATCCAATTAACCTACCAGCATGCCTTTGGAGTGTGGGAGGAAACCAGCGTACCCGGAGGAAACCCATGCAAACACAGTGGGAACATGAAAACTCCATACAGGAGGCGCCATGGTTCGGAATTAAATCCATGACCCAATTACTGCACGGCAGAAGTGCTAACCACTAAGCCACTGTGATATATATATATATATATTTATTTATTTCAGGTACTTATATAGCGCCATCAATTTACGCAGCGCTTTACATACAAGTCCCTAACTCATATTCATACATACACATACTAGGGATAATTTAGACAAGAGCCAAATAACCTACCAGCATGTCTTTGGAGTGTGGGAGGAAACCGGAGTACCCAGAGGAAACCAACGCAGTCTCAGGGAGAACATGCAAACTCCAGGCAGGTGGTGCTGGGGTTGGGATTCGAACCAGCGACCCTAGTACTGCCAGGGGGAAGTACTAACCACTCAGACACTGTGCTGCTATATATATATATATATAATTCAAGTCAAAACGGGACTTTTAATTTTGCAGGTATAAAAATGGATGCTAGCGTGGCGGTACTAAGTGGCAAGCGTGTCCCATTACTGATAGGCGGCACACATGTCCAGAGCCCGCTAATCAAGATGGCAGACAACAGTGTTAATGCGTACACGGAACAATGTGTGGCGTAAAACCCACAAATGTCTACAGAAGACATCCAGCGCAGTACGTTGATGAGACGCTCAACCGCAGTAAGACTTTTGAATGGTGTAAACATTTCAAAGATGGCCGTACGACCGTTAGTGACAATTCCGTCCGTTGTGGTTCCTAGCCCACAGCAGTCCTTCCTGTGAACATTCAGCCTGTGGAACTCTTGATCCTGGATAATCGACGCATAACCTGTTGCGGAATTGCACACAAGTTGAATCTTTCTGTGGGAACACTGAACACAATGATGAGGAATTGAAACAGGCTGTGCTGGGATGGTTCAGGGGTACTGACAAATCTTTCAATGCCGAAGCTTTCCAGGCATTAGATAACCCCTAGACGCCGAACGCACAGAAATATGTGGCCTCTCGGCGTCTGGGCCTTGACGCCGAGCGGCTGCATATTTCTGTACCATTTGAAAATACGTATGTGCTGAGAGCGCGCGCCCTACGCGCTCCTAGCATATGTCTGTGACTCACGGAAAGGCCTGATCTCCCCTTGCGTTCGGGATCTTTTCCAATCACATGACAACGACTCGCGGTGGCCACATGACCCTAAAACACCGGCTTCTGAAATCTCTTAAAGGCCCGGGAGGTGCCGGCGCAAAGGGGTTAAATTCTGGGATAAGTGTATAAATGTAGCAGGGGAGTATGTTGAGAAATAAATGCAGTTTCCACTTCTTGAAATTATATAAACTCAAAAGTCCCGGTTTGACTTGAACTCCCCTCGTATGTAAATAAAGATCAGTTTTATTCCAGTTTTGACACCGCTTGTCCACCAATAGTAAATCATATTCTGGTTTATCTGCCTGTCCCAGATCTGCTGTGCTCAGTTCTTATTCATGTATTTCTCACTACGATGCCGCTACTATTATTAGTCATAGCTCCCTCAAATTGTGTGTCAGTACACAGCTCACATATGGGGAACACGTCATTCACATATATGTTCTCTGATTTCTCCAGAAACTGCTGACAGCTTGTCTGGAACCGTCTCTATTGGAGGAGGATTAAAGGACACCAGCCAATCAGGAGAGAACACGTGTGATGAGATCTCAGAGGTGGGGTAAGCCTGCAGTCCTTCCAGTGTGAAGAGCTGTGAAACGCCACGGTATATGTGTCAGATATGTCACTTTCCTCTCCTGCGTTATATTCAGCCTGCACCGAAATGCATGATAGAAGTCACATTTAGCAGCCTTCCTGGAAACCTTCCAAAAAAAGGAGAGGAAAAACAGAAAGGATCAGCTGTTATGAGATAAACAAAGACCGTCCAACGCCAACCTCTCCTTCTGAAAATGCTAGTTGCCCAGATGTTGTGCTGATCTATTGGCTTCAGTACTTTTCTTTACTGGCACCCTAAATATAAGCAAATCAAATCAAGAATCAATGGGCAGCATGGTGGCTAAATGGTTAGCACTTCTGCCTGGCAGTACTCGGGTCGTTGGTTTGAATCCCAACCACAGCTCCACCTGCCTGGAGTTTGCATGTTGTGCCTGTGTGGGTTTCCTCCGGGTACTCCAGTTTCCTCCTACAATCCGACACACTAAGAGAGGTTAATTGGCTCCTGTCTAAAATTGGTCCTAGTATGTGTATGTATGAATGTGAGTTAGGGACCTTAGATTGTACGCCCCTTGAGGGTTAGGGACTGATGTGAGTGTACTATATGTGTAAATTGAGGGCGATATATAAGTACCTGTAATAAATAAGGACCATAAATATAAGGACATCAATAGGCATGCTTATTTTAGTTAATTGACTTTCAAAGGATTGAGACTTAGAGGATCACCATAACAGCCAGGTACCTAAAAGGAAAGCTAAAGTGGTTGTTGAGTCTGAAGGTTTTTTATCTTCATGCATTCTATGCTGCTCCCCCCACAGCCCCCCTAATACTTATCTAAGCCCCTTCTAGATCCAGTGATGTGCATGGGAGCCTCAGCTGTCCCGGGTCTCTCTCTCCTTATGTCTGAGACAGCAGTGGGAGACATTGGCTCCCACTGCTGTCAATCAAAGCCAGTGAGCAGGGGGCGGGGTGGGGCCGGCTCTATGTGTCTTATGGACGCATGCAGCGAGGCCTGGGAGTGAACACACAGCAGTGTCCCCATATCAAGCGGCTTGCTATTGGGGGCACAGGTCAAGGGGGAGGAGCAAGGGGCACTGGTTGGGGACCCGAGAAGAAGAGGATCGGGGCTACTCTGTGCAAAACCATTACACAGAGCAGGTAAGTATGAGATGTTTGGTATTTATCCACCTCCCGTCCGCCATATAGTAATATGACGGACGCAAAGTGGTTCTCTCGTTCTGGGAGGACGTCATATGACGTCCTCCCATTCTCACTGCGCATGCGCGGTTTAAGGAGCACACAGCGCAGCGATAGGCAGTGCGCTGTGTCCCACGGACACAGTGGATTACCGATCACGGAAAGAGCGAAGATGTCTGCTCGGTCATGTGATCAGCTATGTCCAATCACAGCTGATCGCATGTAAACAGGGAAATGCCGGTTATCGGCATTTCTCTCCTCTCGAGCTGTCACGCTGACAGGACATCTACACAGATCATCAGGGCACTGATGATCAGTGTGCCCTGATGATCAGTGTAGCCCCAGCAGTGCCTTGTGTCAGTGCTCATCAGTGCCTCGTGCCAGTGCCCATCAATGCCACATATCAGTGTCTACCAGTGCACATCAATGCCACATATCAGTGCCCATCTGAGATGCCTTTCAGTGTCACACATCAGTGCCAGTCAGTGCCACCTATCAATGCCAATCAGTGCCACCTATCAGTGCCACCTATCAGTGCGCATCAGTGCCGTCTATCAGTGCCTGTCAGTGCCACCTAACAGTGCCAGTCAGTGCCGCCTATCAGTGCCATGTATCAGTGCTGCCTTTCAGTGCCCATCAGTGATGCCTGTCAATGCCCATCAGTGCCACCTACCAGTGCCTCCTCATCAGTGCCCATCAGTGCCACCTATCAGTGTCCATCAGTGCAGCCTATCAGTGCCCATCAGTGCAGCCTATCAGTACCCATCACTGCAGCCTCATTAGCGCACATCAGTGAAGGAGAAAAATCACTTATTTACAAAACGTTATAACAAAAACTAAGAAAAAATTTTTTTTTCAAACTTTTCAGTGGTTTTTGGTTTGTTTAAGAAAAAATAAAAAACACAGAGTTGATTAAATACCACCAAAATAAAGTTCTATCTGTCACAAAAAAAATTATAAAAATTTCATATGGGTACAGTGTTGCATGACCGCGCAATTGTCATTCAAAGTGCGACAGCACTGAAAGCTGGAAATTGGCCTGGGCAGGAAGGGGGGGAAAGTGCCCGGTAGGCTAGCGGTTAAAAAAAAAAAAGAACCTTTAACCACTTCCAGTCCGGAAACTTACCCCCCCCCCCCCTTCCTGCCCAGGCCAATTTTCAGCTTTCAGCGCTATCACACTTTGAATGACAATTGCGCGGTCATGCAACACTGTACCCATATGAATTTGTTAGCATTTTTTTGGGACAGATAAAGCTTTATTTTGATGGTATTTATTCACCACTGGGAGTTTTGTTTTTTGGCTATATAAATGAAAAAGTCCAAACATTTTGAAAAAAAAAAGTGTTTTTCTTATAAAATTTTGCAAATAAATAATCTTTCTTCACAATTCTTGGCCACAAAGTATTCAGCTATCTTTTTAGTAAAAAAAAACATAACCCAAATTAGTTTATAACCAAAAATTATAATTTTTCAAAACATTTTTTTACATTTTTTCTTAATATTATTATTTGAGGTTTTTTTTTACATACTGTCACCCTAGCAGTACAGTTTTACCATGGCGACACTGTATTTGTGGGGAGTGATGAAGATTTGTTTTTCTTTTTTTACACTGATTGCTTTTACACCCATAAAGGCTGTAAAAGCAATAATTTCTCCTTCTCTCTGGCTGCATTCTTGCAGCCATTGAAGAATACTGTGAGAGCTGTGATTGGTCACAGCTTGTCACATGGTACAAGGCTGCTGTGAATAGCCTTGTACCATGTGACCTCTGTGATCATTCACAGATTTCACAAGTAGTAAGCAATGATGTCAGGAACCACATGAATCGGGACCTCACACAGAGGTCCCGTACAGCGATCCCAGGGAGCGCGCACAGGCAGTGAATTCGGGGGCCGTTTATAAATGGAGACCCGCTTCGGCACTGCTCCCGTCCGGCAGTTTATGTACATGGGCTGGACGGGAAGTGGTTAATATTACTTAAGCAATGGCAGGTCATGACTGGTTTACTGTAACAGAAGATTAATAGCATTTTCGTACTCACCATAAATTCTTTTCTTGGAGTCAATTGAAGGACACACATTGATAATAAGGAACCTATGGCTATATTGCTGCCTACAGGAGAAATGAAATGGACACTATGCACTCTGCAAATCTGAAGGCCAGCCCCCTGAAGGCTACAACCCCTCACACCCGCTTAGTTTCGCTAACCCTCGGTTCACATCTGTGCAAGTGGTGCCCCTGCGGATCCGCACAAAAATCAGTGCAGCCGCACCAACCTCACAGAGAAATGCGGACCCGCGTGCGGGTGCCATTAGTTCTAATGGCACGTCGCCCGCACTGGGAAACGCAACCGTACTGGGAACCGAGGTTCCCGTGTGGGCTGCGTTTTGCAAAGAAGTGCAGGGACTTCTTCCCTGCATGTCACTGGCACGGGAGTCCATTCAAATGAATGGACTCTCGTGCCCACGCAAAACGAGGCCCGCGCGGCCACATAGATCTGAACCGTGGGTTAGTGTCCTTAGGGGAATGGATGGGTTCTTTTTCCCCTCTGTTATATTTTTTTTCTTAATTTGGAAGATTATTAAAGTGGTTCTAAATTTAAATAGTTGTTTTTACATCAATTCATTCTCTGCATTAAGGCAAAAATCCTTCCACTACTTGTGCCCCCCCCCCCCCCTTTAAATACTAACTTGTCTCCTCTCACGGTCCAGGGCTGTCGCAGTCTGCAGCATCAAAAAGTGACATTCACTCAATACACTAAAATCACATAGTATAACATTCCTGTATCAAACCATTTCACATACATTTTGTCCCGAGTGCTTTGTCCTGTGCCCTGCCTGCATTTTTACCGTTCTTTCTGCCTGGAAAATGAGAAATGTCCATGGCGTCCAAAAAGCGTCCCTTTACGTCAAAAGCGGTTTTAGACCGGCTAGAGAACAGCGATAGTAAATCAGAACCACTTGCAGAATTGAGTGATAATGATTCGTGGGGAAATTCATCATCAGACACTGAAAACGATTCTGTGACTTTGCTCAGCGATGTGCGAACTTGGCGTTATATTTCAAATTTCAGTGTTTTTTGTTTGATTATATTATTGAATTAAATTTATTATTATTATATTATTTTTTATGATTATTTATTAAATTATACTTTATGATTTCGTGTTTCAAATTTTATCATCCCCGGGATGTTTACTAGACTCTTGTTCGGACAGATTTCAGTGAGTTATTCCTAAAAATGACAGGCCTACAATAAAAAAATACATATTTCCATGCAAAATAATGTACCGCTTTGAGCACAGAAATACTGACATAATCAGACTAGGGAGGTTAATGAATGAATCCAAAACGGAACACATATTTCCATCGTGCACTTCTCTACCTATCAGCCATATGTCAATCAACAGTTTTTTCACCTTAAAAGAAGAAAACTGTATCATTTCTAATTGAGGTGATATGTTTCACTTTAACCCCTCGCCCTTCTGAGGATTTCCACCCCTTCCTGACCAGGCCATTTTTTTGTGTTATGGCGCTGCGTTACTTTAACTGACAATTGCGCGGTCATGAAATGCTGCACCCAAATGAAATTTACGTCCTTTTTTTCCCACAAATTGAACTGTCTTTCAGTGGTATTTGATTGCCTGTGCGGTTTTTATTTTTTTGCGCTATAAGCAAAAAAAGACCAACAATTTTGAGAAAAAAACAATATTTTGGAATTTTTGCTATTAAACATGTCCAGTAAAAAAAAAATGTAAAAATCTAATTTCATCATAAATTTAGGCCAAATTGTATTCTTCGACATCTCTTTGCTAAAACAAAATCCCAATACGTGTAAATTAATTGGTTTATTTATTTCAGGTACTTAGCACTGTACATATATATTGTACATTCACATCAGTCCCTAACCCTCAAGGGGTGTACAATCTAAGGTCCCTAACTCACATTCATACATACACATAAAAAATCTGCCAATGAGCTGTGACCTGCAAGAAGAAGAAAAAAAAGAAGAAAAAGAATTCCAGTCCGCTATTATATTTGACATGAAAAAGTCTTGCGGTTGCAACAATGTATCTATTTGTATCCGAATAAAAACATCTGTATCCAAAATGGATACAAATAGATACATTGTTGTAACCGCAATACTTTTTCATGTCAAATATAATAGCGGAGCTCTCGGCAGAGACAGAAGTAATTAAATGCCGTGACGAAAAATCGGCCGGTTTTTTTTACCGTTGGTGGTAACGTCGGCCTATTGAACGACCAATTTTTCTTTTTTTTTTTTTTTTTTAAAACGGACGGTTTTCGACTCATCTATGGTCTGCATAAGTTGTATATTAGCAAGCTGTATCCATAAATAAATTATAGGGATAGTATAATTTCCAGGACAGGTTCTTTGATTATATACAGGGGGTGTGGAGTATATATGGGGAGGCAAATTCTGTCCAAGATTCACCCAGGAGAGAGATATGTATCACTCAGTCCCATGATTCATGGACAGGTATTGCTGAGTGTTACAGTTATTAACCTGTCATTTCACTTTCTCATCAATCTGTTATTGAAAATGTTTTCTTGAAGCTCTGTTTTCCTGGTTACACACAGATTGTGGTGGTATATTGTGTCAGGTGATATGCTCTGACCCTAGAGGATGTTATTGCGGGGGGGTCTTCTCTACCCTCCATCAACTGGAAATGGAGAGCCTCAACTAGGATTCCTCCAGATGCTGCTAGGGGATCCTTGAGCTGTGGCTGATTTACCTCCCATTTGATGGTGCCTGCATAGTTCCAAGGATAATGACACTAGGCAGGGCCAGCTCCATGACACCAATGAACCTTTTACCTGTGTGTTTAGGGTAGCATTGTGACCACCCTTGTAAAAGGGGCATTCTTCCTATTGGTCCCCAATATAAGGGGCTTTGGTCCCACCTACCCTCCCGTGAAAGTTCCCCAAGACCTGAAATTTATTTTAGGGGTTTCTACAGGGCAGGGGTCTCCAAACTTTCTAAACAAAGGGTCACTTTATTATCCTTCAGATGTTAGAGAGGCTGGACTGTGGTTATTAGAAGTAGAAAATGTCCCGGCGTCGGTAACAATGCCCCATCATTGGTGTCCATGAGAGGAATAGTGCCTCATCGTTGGTGTCTATGAGAGGAACAATGCCCCTACATTGGTGTACATAAGAAGATCAGTGCCCCATCGTTGGTGTTGCTGGGAGGAATAATACCCCAATATTGGTGTCCATGGGGGGAATAGTGCCCCATCGTTGGTGTTACTGGGAGGAATAGTACCCCACTATTTGTGTCCATGGGAGGAATATCGCCCCATTGTTGGTGTTGCTGGGAGGAATAGTACCCCATTATTGGTGTCCATGGGGGGAATAGCGCCCCATTGTTGGTGTTACTGGGAGAAATAGTACCCCATTATTGGTGTCCGTGGGGGGAATATCGCCCCATCGTTGGTGTTACTGGAAGGAATAGTACCCCACTATTGGTGTCCGTAAGAGGAATAGTGCCCCATCGTTGGTATCAATGGGAGGAATAGTGCCCCATTGTTAATGCCAGTGGG